CCTTCAGGGGGAGGGTAACCCCACCCAGAACAGGCTATTTATCAAATTCCCGTACCCAAGAACTTCCAATCCACAAAGTCTCCACCTTATTGGGCTTCAGCTTCAGTTTAGTGACCCTCATGCTGCTCATTACAGCATCCAGGAACTGGTCCAGTTATGTACTGGACATCATGGGCAATCTGGACATCATGGATATTTCCAGTTTAAAGAATCAGTAACTGTTTTTTGAAAGTACATTTTGTCCATCTTTACTTGGGACTTTTGTTTATAGGATTTGATTGTCATTTCAGCCCAAATGGGCCACTGACAATCACACAAATCCAAAGGGAATTCCTTTTATTTGATGTTATTCAAATTGCTGCTTATGATTTTTTTTTTTCTCCTGAATAATCAAAATGCTGATTATGACTCTCAAAGGAAATGCATCCTTTATTGATGTCACCAGCAAGGAGAAATTTCTAAGAACTGACTGTTTCCTAATGCTGGGCTGCTGATTATTGCAAAACATAGTATTTCTAAGCGCCATCCAATCTGTGGCAGAAATGTGAACATAGATTCCTCATTTCTTTAAAAAAAAAGAGGCAATCATATAGACTTTACAGAAAGTCAAAAGTTACTTTAGAAAACTCTTTCCTAAAGTGGCCAATAAAGTATCTCTATAAACCTACCATCAAAACAAGAAGCTGATGTCCACCTTCACTACAGAAAAACCAAAGGCAGAAGATTGTTTATTTCATTGTTTTTTAGATTTTAAGATGGATAAAATTTTATACAATTTGGAAAATGTAGGATTAGAGTTTGAACCCCTACTCTGTTCTAATAACAATAGGTTGCTTGCAAAAATGTATAAACTGTTACTTATGACTGAGATGGAAAATAAACACGTTAAAATTGTATGATTAAATGGTCTCAGAATATCGTCTCAGTTGTAACTTGATAAACGGGAAAGAGGTCTAAAAGTTTAAAAATTACTTTGATTTCTGATTTAAGAGAAAACAAGATGATGTGCGTATTTAACTCAAGAAAGATTGTCAAAGATGTAGAAGAACTTTTCAGGATAAATGCTAGAAGTGTGATCAAAAGATGGGGACTTTTGATCACATGTGGTGAACATGTGATAAAGCATAGCAATATTGGACTCAGATTCATTTGATGATGGAAGATATGGAGAATTCCTATACAGAAGAAACTTGAACGGTATTTGCTGGAAATGTTGGATGCGCAATTGGAGAGAAAACGTGTCAGAGGTGTGCAGTATATGATTACAGCTGCGAGAACTGCATACGCTAAAAAATGGAAGGACTCAATGACACCGACTCAAGAAGATTGGCAGATAACACTTAATGAGTACAGTTCCCCCTCTGTTTTCATGGACTTTGAGTTTGCGGTCTTGGTACATTGCAGACTGGCAAGCCCCATTGGTTAAAATGGCATGTGCGCCCATGGTGCATGCACAGGTCTACACACAGGAGTGCACGACAATTCAAGCCAATGAAGCTTGAATATCTGCGATTTTCTGGGTTTTGGGGGGGGGGTCTGGAACAGATTCCCCGTGAAAACGGAGGGGCGATTGCATGTTGAAATGGACAAATTGACAGAGTTGATCAAGGAGAAATCCTCAGTTATCTTTTAAAAAGAGAGAAATTTGCTTATTCCATTTTAAAAATGAAAACGGGGTTATTTGTCAACATGTCGGTTTGAATAGTGGTTACAATTCATTAAATGTAGAAGATTTTCATTGTCATTAAAAGAAAGTTAAACTAGAGTTTCAAGTATAGCCAAATGCTTTGGGGAAGGAAGTCAATCTTATTTGTATTCTTTCTTTTTCTTTCTTTGCAGAGACATTTTGTTAGTTTCTTTTTCTTTTTCTTTGCTTGATTGGTACATTTTATATATGTAGAATAATCTCTGTGTTAATATTTTTTGTTTAAAAAAATGCAACCATTATGATTACAGACTGCAGAAAATCAAAAGTTACTTCAGAAAACTCTTCCTTAAAGTGGCCAACAAGGTGCCCCTATAAAGCTACCATCAAAGCAAGAAGTGAGAGTCTCCTCCTATTGCCTTCCCAGTAATTTGACATCTGTGGAATATAGCCCTTGAACATGGGTTCCATCCCTAATAGGTTCCATCCCTAATAATGGGTTCCATCCCTAATAATGGCTAATAGCTGTCGATCAATAGACCCTCTATGAAATCATCAAATCCTTATGAAAGCCATCTAAGCGACCAAATATTAAGACATGTTATTGCAAACGCTAAGTTCTGATAACAATTATTTATTGTTGTATTTATTTGTCACTCTGTTGTTTTTCTCCAGTGAACTCAAGGCACTGTACAAATATCTATTTCTTCACACTTTATCCTCACAACCCCCCGTGTGGTAGGTCGGGTTGAGAAAGTGTTACTGGACCAAAGTTGCCCACCTCTGTGTGACGGGCCAAGTGTCATGGCACAGTGGGGTTGCACCCTAGTTTTTGTCATCCAAAACTCTATTTCTACCAGAAAGTGTCATCATTGGTCTTCCCTTATTTGCAATGAGAGAGAAAAAGCCGTTTGCCAGAGTATAAGAGAAACTGAATAATGCTGGGGGGACTTCAGTGCTGGCCGTCCTTGTTCCTATCATGGGCCTTCACTCTCACAGATGCCTTTTCTATCTTTTCTATACAGCCATTTAAAGAGCACTTGCAAAACAAGTCAGGGCTCCTGCTCTTTTAATATATAGAAAAAGACATTTCAGTAGTTTCTTCTTAGTTGTTGTTGTGTGCCTTCAAGTCATTTTTGACTTATGGTGACCCCAAAGTGAGCTTTTCACAGGATTTTCTTGGCAAGATTTGTTCAGAGCGGGCTTGCCTTTGCCTTCCTTTGAGGCTGAGAGAGCGTGACTTGTCCAAGGTCACCCAGTGGGTTTCTGTGACCCATCAGAGATTCGGACCCTGGTTTCCCAGTGCTCAAGTCCAACATTCAAACCACAGCGCTGGTTCTCTTAGGTCCAAAACACATTGCAGAAATAATCCAGGGCACTTAAAGTGGTCTCAAACTGGATTATTTCCGCAGTGCGTTTTTGGAGCTTAGTTTCTTCTACCTTGTTGTGCACCTTCAAATCATTTCCAACTTATGCTGACCCTAGGGTGAACCTATCATGGGGTTTTCTTGCCCAGATTTGTTCCGAGGAGGTTTGCCATTGCCTTCATCTGGGGCTGAGAGAGTGTGACATCCATTTCATGAATGAACAGGGAATTGAAACTTGGTCTCCAGAGTTTTCTTTAAAATTACATCTGGCCAGTGGAAGTTCAGCGTAGTTCCTCAACCTGCTATCTCTGGAGGCTTGGGCACTGTCTCTGATGGCATAACCTTTGGCTTTCCCCTCTTCCTTTCCTTTCAACTCCCTAAAGTGCTGAAACTTCCAAGCACTCCCATAAGAAACAAGTAACATGGTGCGGGTCATTTCTCAGGCTTCCTGGGCTGGGCATCCTTCTGAGATTAGGATGGATCCTGAAGGCTCATGGGACTGGGCACCTGAGCAGTGGCATCACTAGGGTTGGCATCACCCGGTGCGCCAACGCCTGGCATCACCCTCCTCCCTTCACTGACTTCCTCCCATCCCACACCATACAGAAGCCTTACTCACATTTTCTGTACAAATGTTACTCATCCATCGTAATCCCGGTGTACCACTGAATGCCACTGTAAATAGCTGTGGCATAAAGCAACTTGCAAAATTAAAATGAGACCTTTCAAATCACAATCCCACACGCACAGCCTGTACATATGCATCGTTTCATGCGGCCGAAGTGAACAATTTGGTCAAACGTGATGTTGTTTTGAAAGAATATTTTTTGTCTTTCTCTCCTTTCTGCCCCCACTCATGCTATCTCTTTGGCATTTTCAAGGGAGGCCGGAGAATGCCACAGGCCTTTTCTCCCCCCACG